AGACCTTAAGGTCTTTAAGGTCCTTGACACAGCTCTTCCTGACAAAAAAGACTAAATATACCGTAAAACAGGCCAGCTAGCAGAATCCACGCAACCAGTGTGCGAATGCCAACACAGGGTTCCCCCAATTATTTAATCAGAGCATTTTTGCATGGCCAGAGTGTGTACTCGACACTATTAAGAATTCACATCACAACCACTGCATTTTCTATATTGTATTACTATTTTAAAAAGCATCAATAAAGCTGAATTCATTTTTTAACATTTCGAAAAATTACCTAAACCTAACACAACGCTCTCATATACAGCCTTCAAGCTGCAATATCTTCAAGCTTCTGAAAGCTTAATGTATCGGTACTGCATGGAGATCATACACAACAGTGCTTCTAACCAGTGAAAAGACAGTGATTTTCAGAAACCGGAGTACCAGATCTGCCAGTGCTGTACTGGGTTCAATAAAAAATCCATTACACCAAACATTTCAAGTAATATAAACTCTTAATAAAACCAAGAGACCGGCGAAGTAGGATGCAGCACAAGCGATCGAAGCATGAGCAAAGTAGAATCCCGTCCACACCGAACAAGCACGAACAAGTATTTTCTTTGAAGTACCGCTTTCCTCTCAATCTTTTTTGAACGTGAACAAACAAATGTTTCTTCGCTCACTAGTCCGTACTCACTAGATGATTATTGATGTAGAATGTTCGCTCGCTCGTGTTCGCTCTTGCTCGTTTTTTTGGTGAATACACGCCTTTAAGTTAAACCAGAAACACAAATCAGAGCGTGGATCTTCAACCTAAAGCAACTCACAATGGAGAAAGGCGTAAGTCTCTGTATCNTCTAACCAGTGAAAAGACAGTGATTTTCAGAAACCGGAGTACCAGATCCAGTGCTGTACAGGGTTCAATAAAAAATCCATTACACCAAACATTTCAAGTAATATAAACTCTTAACAAAACCAAGAGCCAGTGTATACAGTGTGTCTAAAGGCGCGTATTCACCAAAAAAGCGAGGAAGAGCGAACATTTGTTTTAGTTCGTGTATGTTTGCTCGTGTTCGCTCGACATATTGACATCTCGTCCATACCAGAGCAAATTCAGGTTCGCGATTTCACGTTTGCAGTTGATCCATCTGTTTTCTGCGAGCGTATTAATAAATATGGCTGACCATGAGAAATTATTGTTATTAGCCAGTGCTGCTTTCATTGTATTGAGTTTATTGAAAAAGAAAATACGGAAAAAACACATATTTATAATAGCAGTAATCTATCGCGTGATTTAAAAGTAGAACATGACTACATAATGTTCCAGAATTTTTTCAGAATGGTCCCTGAAGATTTTAAAACTTTGCTAAAACTTGTGAAACCAAAAACAAGTATTTTCTTTGAAGTACAGCCTTCCTCTCGATCTTTTTTGAACGCGAACAAACAAATGTTTCTTCGCTCACTAGTCCGTACTCACTAGATGATAATTGATGCAGAATGTTCGCTCGCTCGTGTTCGCTCTTGCTCGTTTTTTTGGTGAATACACGCCTTTAAGTTAAACCAGAAACACAAATCAGAGCGTGGATCTTCAACCTAAAGCAACTCACAATGGAGAAAGGCGCAAGTCTCTGTATCTTTCCTTGATATCCTCAGGGGGTAATGACAAAAGAGAAATTCCTACATCAGCGAACGGGCAATTAACGTCACAGCAAGGCAGGTGAAAACGGACTCAGAGAGGTACGCTCATTGCGGACCCATTATGAGAGTTTATGACCCTCTCAATATGATGAGGAGAAATGAGAGTAGGTGAACTCTACCAAGGGCTAACCAGACCAAGCAAAATCTGAGGCATGGCGCCTATCGTGGGGCTATGTCAGAAGATAGGCAACCGACCTACATAGATCCGCGACATGGCGGCTAATGTAAAGTTATGGCAGAAGACAGACAACCCACATACATAAATCCGCGATGTGGCGCCCAACGTGGCGCTATAACAGACCTACATAAATCCGCGATAGTACGCTAAGATCGCAAAAAAGAAAAATTCTTCAAAAAACATTTTGAAGTACTTTAAAACTGAATTACATTATATTAAACAATTTTCATAAAAACAAACTCCACAAATTACCATTGATTTCATGCACACAAGGTAGTATTACCCCTTAAATGTTGGATTTGAGTAAGATCGCTCAACTTTTAACAGATGACTGTCGATTGAAGAAGCATCTGTATAGCATAAACACGAATTTAGGTAATCCTAGGTAACTGTAAGGGCTTTGCATGTCCGAGATTCAGCCTTCTTGGTAAACCTTTTTAAAATAGGAGTGAAATATCAGCTAACAGTCTTTCAAACTAATCCGCAAGTTAAGATAAAAAAAATGTCAAGTAACTTTTGTTTTCAATGAAACACAATTATTTCTTACCTTTCATGGGAGAAGTATGAGCAGCGCGAGCAGAGCATATCAGCCTTGAGACTCCTTCTACGTTCTGACTGCGAGGCTCCATATCTTTCTCCTTTTCTTTCTTCTTTCCTAATCTCATAACTGAAAAAAAGAAACACAATTTTGCACATAAAGAAAAATCATTACTAATGCTATGTTGTTTATAAAAAAATATGTATTCATACTTTTCTGTTTTTTCTCTTTATTCGCCAATAGCATGGTAACATTAAGTCCAGAATGTGTAGTTGGAGAAACCTGAAGTCCTCGGAAAATGGCTTTCAAAGAAGTTTTGCCGTCTTGTTTAGTTTTATCAGTCTTTATGGTGCTGTCGGAGAACTTCGGCAGTTGCCAATAGTCCAATTGGAGGTCGAGTGGTTCCCACGGCGAGTCCCGTGCCTGCACGTTGGGAGAAGAGGGAGGAGTCAAAGAAGGTGCTGGTGGACTGGAGCACATCAGGTCGTCCAAGTCCACAGAGATCGATAGTGCTAGATCTGCGGGTCCTACTCTGACCTCCTGTGTAAAAATAGATTCATTGGTTTAAAAAAGTGTATCTAATACCAACAGATGATACAATGATAATAAATTGTTTCAACTCAGTTCAAGTTTTTGTACCCTTCTTTTAAAGCACTATGTTTGGTTTTTGAATCTCAGTGTCAATGACATCAGGCATTGAATATGTTTAGGTAAGCATAATATCATTCCACCTGAAGTGAAATTATGAAAGGGCACTAGGCAAGTAAAATACAAAATATACATCAGACGCAACAAACGTGAAATACAATAATTAAATTATGGGATATTAAACACTTACACTGACAAATGGAATGAACAATTGGCTGTTCTCGTCGTGACAGGTGAGCATAGCTTCGCCGATGGGTAGCTGGGCGACAGGAGCAGACAGAGGGGAGGAAAGGTACCTCTGTAACCTCTGCGAGAGCTCGTCAATTTTCAATTCTTGTTCGTTGGGAAACAAGGTCTGGTACCCCGGATCCAACATCGCCAGGTGGCGGGAAATATTGCAGTTGCCCAAGGGGACTATATACACGCGGGTGTATGCCAACCATTCAGAAGGTTTGCTCGAGAGAAGTTCGACGTATGGACGGACAAACCATCCTATCAGAGTGTCTCCGCCAATTAGGAGGAGCTTGACGTATGTACCAGGTTTGGCACAATTATTGCAACTATGAAAGTAATTAAGAACTGTTATAACATTATTTATCAAGTTGCAAACAGTTTGTCCCTAGTATAAGGGCAGCATGTAGTAGAATACCACAAATAAATCCCAAATACTTGAGCTACATAGGTTCTAGGTCTCTCCTTTATAGTTCATGGATATTTACACGGCCAGTATCTAAATCATGCTGGTACACCGCAATAAATGATTAAGAATTATCCAAAATAAAAACACATCATCAGCATACGTAATAAAAGCTGTTTTACCTAATAATTTTACACTGAATTTATACGGAAGATAAAAAGCATGGGTCCCAAACCTGAACTCTGTGGTATACTCATTTCAACTAAGCAAGAATCAGTATGGATTTATATTGTTTTCAAAATTTCATAAAACATAATAACCAATTTAATCAATAGTTTGATCATTTCTTATGCCACAATCATGAAGTTTGCTTTACCAATAACTGATTAAAGATGCATACAAAAGTCTGTTTGGTTTTGAACCCCCAAAGCGAAGAATTTGATTGGATTTGAGAAGAGATAAAGATTTCACCTAATAAGAAACTGGGATATAAACATGTTATCCGATTACTGCTGCTCGTTAGAATGAGGTTCATCATCGAAATAGAGAAAATATAAAAGAAATCCACTCCGCAGATCTTTTGAGAACAAAATAGTTCGATACCAAAAAAGTGAGTAGTAGTTTCGATATTATAATAGTGAGTTAGATATAGTGATTTTATGTGATTTATCAAGGCAAAATCCTCAAAAACTGTTCTCAAGAATCTCAATAGACATGGACTTACTGTGTAAATTAATCTAAATGAAGTATTAACGGACACATTAGTTTAAACTTTGCATAATTACAGACCCAGACTTGATCGAATCAAACAAACAACGGATTAAGATTAAGCGGCACAAAAACATAAAGATATGTAGATTTACTTTGTTGGCAATTGATTCTCCACATTTGACCTTGAACTGACCTTGCCCCAAATGGACACCGGATTTGAATTCAGCGACCCCGAAAAGGTATAGACGTGTAGGTTTGCTTTGTTAGCAATTTTCTATATTTGACTTTGNCAATTCTTGGAACAGCGCCTGGATATCACTCGGATTTTATATTGTTTTCAAAATTTCATAAAACATAATAACCAATTTAATCAATAGTTTGATTATTTCTTATGCCATAATCATAAAGTTTGATTTACCAATCTACTTCGTAAAGATGTGTATAAAAGTCTGTTTGGTATGGACCCAAAAGGGAAGAATTTGATTGGATTTGAGAAGAGATACAGATTTCACCCAATAAGAAAATGGGGTATAAACATGTTATCCGATTACTGCTGCTCATTAGAATGAGGTTCATCATCGAAATAGAGAAAATATAAAAGAAATCCACTCTGCAGATGTTTTGAGAACAAATTAGTTCAATACCAAAAAAGTGAGTAGTAGTTTCGATATTATAATAGTGAGATATAGTGTTTTCTTGTGATTTATCAAGGCAAAAAGCTCTTATCTTCAAAAACTGTTCTCAAGAATCTCAATAGACATGGACTCGCTGTGTAAATTAATCTAAATGAAGTATTAACAGACAAATGGGTATAAACCTTACATATTAGACTTATCGATAGGTACTAGAATTTTGTCCTGTCAAAACCATTAACTCAAGAGTCACAGGCTCAGAGTTAAAGTTTTCTTTAATCTCATATGTTACTCAAATTTTAATATAATACGTACATAAATGCATGAGTGTTTTGAGTTTAGAACTTGAGCAACTCCAAAAAGGTATAGGTATGTAAGTTTACTTTGCTGGCAACTGATTCTCTAGATTTGACCTTGAACTGACGTTAACCCGGACCTATTCGGATAAAACAAACAACGGATTCAAATTCAGCGGCACAAAAACATATAGATATGTAGATTTACTTTGTTGGCAATTGATTCTCCACATTTGACCTTGAACTGACCTTGCCCCAAATGGACACCGGATTTGAATTCAGTGACCCCGAAAAGGTATAGATGTGTAGATTTGCCTTGTTAGCAATTTTCTATATTTTACTTTGACCTTAANCATAAAGATATGTAGATTTACTTTGTTGGCAATTGATTCTCCACATTTGACCTTGAACTGACCTTGCCCCAAATGGACACCGGATTTGAATTCAGCGACCCCGAAAAGGTATAGACGTGTAGGTTTGCTTTGTTAGCAATTTTCTATATTTGACTTTGACCCTAACTGAGAGGTAATTGGGTCAAATGGACACCGGATTCGGATTCAGCAGCCCCAAAAACATATAGATAACGTAGTCTCATCTTTTGGACCTCCCACTTTTTTTTTATGGGGCTGTGTAATCTGCAGAGTGCAGTTTGGGAATCACTAAAAACAACAGAAAATTAAGCACAACTAAATATTACTCATACAGATAAATAGACAGGGTCAGATCGATATTTTACTGTCATATGCTTGCATGAAATGAAAAAGTAAATTATTAAAATACATAGTTTTACCTATTGCTATGATTTATTTAATTTTGTAAGCTTTGATTATGAACTTTGCAAAGTTTAGGACTATTGTTGTAAAATGATCAAGAATTTATTTTTGGCAAATTTTTATCAGGCACAAATGGAAGTAAACGAGAATAAATGAGGATAAATGGGAAGGACCTGCCAATTTTATTTCCTGTATGATATTATTGCTTTAAAATTAAGAAATGCTAGATTTAATGTTTTTTTTAAAGTGATGATTGAGTGAAAAACTTAAATTTAAAAATCATAAATATTTGATACTCACAGCGTGGTAGTAAATTCTGCTTCGAGAAATTTTTTAAGTGTCTAGTGATTTATTTCTATTCTTTTGTTCATCAAATTCAATAAAAAAAATTATTACTTCGTTGATATTTATTTTTAGAGGTCGCTCGAAAACAAAAATGTTTTCGGGCGACTTAAAAAGGTACACTACTTTTAAAGTTAAAATAATTGTGTGACCTTTAGAAATTAAAATATCGATTTGAAATTTTTAGAAACAAGATTTTTTTCAACCTAGAAAATGATAAAATAACGAGAAAAAAAATATATATTTTTGACGATTTTGGAAATTTTTAAAAATCTTGAGCTACCTCCAAAAAAATTTTTTAGAGCTGATTTTTTGATGGGGTTCTTAAAATATGATAAACTAACATATTTTCACAACACGAAAAAAAACATTAGTTTTTTTTGGGCCACCCTAACCTAAGTATATACTTATTAAACTGCACCATACCAGTCAGATTTTGACAAAATGCAGAAAAAAGTTTTCTTTTTCTGTTTCCAAAGTGTATATAAACACATAATGGTTCTTTTTTGCGCGAACATTCGTGAATTTAGAACTTCCGTTGTATGTAACCTTTTTTAAATTTTTATCTATACTATCACATATTAAACGTATGACACTTATACTACAGATACCCTGTATGCAACTTCATTTACTGAGAACTTTAGGAAAATTTTTAGACATTATTA